CCTCTATATGAACCAGTCTCCGTGTAGTCCTGATCCTCTATATGAACAGTCTCCATGTAGTCCTGATCCTCTATCAGACCTCCATCAGTACAGAGACCATCAGAGAGAAGATGGTCTGTTTCTATAGAGTTATTCTTAATGCTCGTCATCGGAGCCACCGGGTCGGATTCTGGTGAAACCAGATGGACTCATGCAGGTTCACTTTAATGTTGCATCTGGTAAAGTTTAAGCTCATTTTGATATCTTTAAATTAGTTTAATCTATCTAAGGAGGACCTTTACGTGTGTAGAAGTTTCCAAACCCGTTCTGATAACATTAGAGTTCATATCGTCAGACTTCAAAGAGCTCCTCAGACATAATTGTGCGCGTGCATGTTGGAGTTTCCCTTCAGCTCAACCTGTCGAACCATCCGGAGCTCCTGTTAACGTGACCTCTAGGGGGCGCTGTGCCTTTAAGAACACGTCCTCTTAAGAAGAAAAGTCTGGAGACTTTGTAATAAGTGTGACTGAACACTCCTGTCAATACAATGCTTTTAATGTGTCTATTGTTTAAAAACACCTTTTATGTCTATAATGCATCACAAACATACTTATAATGTGTTATAATCTGCTTATAGCACTGTGTTATAGGTATATTCATAATGCAGGATGAGAATAACCAAAACTGTCCACTCAACGAGTTCCGTGCGGTTGTGTTCAGCTTCATGTTTACTCCTCTGGGCTCGTTTGTAATAAGTCGGTGTGAACGGGAACCAAACTATTATGTTTGTTTTTCTTATGAGGATGAAATAATTTATTTATTTCTATCTTAACATTAGAGCTAAAGATGAAAACACAAGTTAGAAGTCTTTGTGTTTTGTTCATATTTGAGTAAATAGTCCAGTTCTTCAATATCTAAACTGACTTTTTAAACTGTTGCTTCTAATTCATAATCACTTAATAATCTCAGGACAAAATGTAGAAATCTGAAAACAGTTCTTGTGTTGTTGTTTTTAAAATGAAACACTTATTGAACAAATCAACTCTGGAGTCAAACATCAGCTGTTCCCTCTCAAACATTCTACATCTTACAAACATGAGTCTCAAAAGTCAAGTAAAGTCTAAAGAACACATTTTATACACTTCAACCAAGAGTGTTGAGATGTTTGATATTTACAGGAATCTAACTTCAGCAGCACATTAACATACAAAGGTTTGATGAACATGCCTGTACTGACCTCTAGCGGTAACTTGTGTACTGCAACAATATAAGATGACACCTTGTTGCTGTTAGAGGACGTCCACTTGCTTTCTTGTCCTGATCCTCTATATGAACCAGTCTCAGTGTAGTCCTGATCCTCTATGAACCAGTCTCAGTTTAGTCCTGAATCTCTATGAATCAGTCTCAGTTTAGTCCTGATCCTCTATCTGAACCAGTCTCAGTGTAGTCCTGATCCTCTATGAACCAGTCTCAGACTGTGAGACCTGCTGCAGTACAATGAGAGGTTTCCTAAATGGAGTCTGGGGCTCAGAGACACTACCACTTTAGTCCACAGGGGGCGACAGAACCAACACTAATTGAAAGTTCCTCATAATAACTTTAAGTAAAAGTTGTGAATGCAGGACTTAAACTTGTAGTGGAGTGTTTTCACAGTGTGGTATTAGTACTTGTACTGTAGTAGAGGATCTGAATACTTCCTCCATCGTGTTATCGTGGAGGACCAAACTGGATCATATCTTACTGGATTTGAATTAAATATATTTTACAGACGAGATACATATTTTGTTAATTACTTGGAGCAGAAACCGTTCGTCTCCCTCGCGTGAGGCAGAATATAAATACAAACAGACTAGATCAGCTGGTCACCGATGTGTTTAGTAACAGCAGCCAGAGAAGAAGCTTTGTGTGTCTGCTTCAAATCTGGAGACAACATCTCGGTCAAATGTGGATCCGTGTCAATCCGGTAGAACGAGCACTTTAAGAGCGCTCGCTTCCTCGCAGCGCTTCAACACAAAGCTGCTCCTGTCTGCTCAGAAACACTCCAGAGATGTGACCGAAAGAGAAGTTTAACTTTAGATCTTATCTAAAAACATGAGGCAGAAAACCAGGAAAAGATGAAAGATCTATTTAGAGGCTTGTTTTGTTACTTAAATGTACCCTTTATTTATTCATTCATTTATTTAGATTCAAGTAAAAGAATCAAACACTGGTGAGTAACTAGTGCATTTACTAAAGTACCCCCCACTGTTACCAAAGTTACAACTATTTCACTCAAAACTACAAATGTCACCTCATGGAGTCACCAGATTAACAGTCACATGATCCTCGTCAGTCATCAGGATTCAACACATTCCCTTTTTCAAAGTGTCAGAATAACAATAAGTTACAGACTAACAACATAAAGTGTCACAAAAGGTCTTAATGACAATAACATAAATGACACTTTAAGGACAACATATATGAGTAGTTGCATTATAAATCTGGACGGTCAGAAGAGGATTAAAGAGACGAGTCAGAAGAATACATATATTTATTTCTCTACATTTTGCTTTTTGATGAAACACTGAATTCTTTCTCCTCTTTCAGCCTCTAAAAACCTTTGAAATGAAACAATTTGAGGATTGAAAACGTGTTTTTGGGGGTTGAACGTGTTGAACTCACATCCTGTGATGATGCTTCATTTTAAGGGCTCACATGTCAAAAACACAAAACAGATCAAAGGATTCTGACACCTGACGTCCTCACTGCCTCCTCGCTCCTTCAGCCTCAGAGTGTTTGTAACTTAAACAGCGTGTGAACTGTTTAACATGCATGACGTGTATGAAGGTGTGTGTTCAGAAAACGTGCTTCTGTATCTGTGTCATGTGACACAAGTCAGCCTCTCCTGTTCAGAAAAGTGACAAAGTCAAAGTTTGTGTGAGAGAGTCGTCCATCAGCTGGAGAAAGGATGACTCATATACATCAGATCAGAATCACATGACCTCAGGAGGAAGCTCGGGGCCTTTTTGGTTCAGACTTCCTTTTAGTTGAACACCACCATCAGCATTTAGGAAGGAAGGCATGTGAGGAGAATCTGTAATATCTCAGGAGCACAATTCTGTCTTTCTGGAGGCTGAGCGGGTCTGATGGTGGGAGATTTCACAGAGAGTCAGATGAGGGTGTGTGGTGGGCTGCTGCTCTGTGCCTCTGTGTGTCTTTAATGGGAGTGAGGCGATCATGTGTACGCTCAGTAGAGAGGAGCTCTTCATCGCCCCAAATTCAACCAAATCCATGAATAAAGATATGGGAGTCATTAAATATCATCGGTGGTTAAGGGGCTTGAAGTCTTGTTCCCTGGAGCCGCGGAGGCTTCTTCTAACCGAAGGGGAAAAAGTTTTGGCGTGACGAAAATGAGGTTCCTAATTAAGCATCCAATTAGCAACGATCACGACAGGAACAACGTGACCACTTCATACTCAGACTCCACGTCTGCTGGTCCACCGCTGAGTTCAGCAGCGTCACATAGATTATACTCACATACAACTCAAATCAAATAAAAGCTGTAAAACGACATCACACAAAAGCCAATAACGTCCTTTATAATACATACTTGTTGAATCTTTTCACGGCGGGTGGGATGAATTCATTGCTGTACTGATTTAGCCAGAACATTGGAAGTCTTATCACCTCAGATTCTGATTTCACAAAGTGGGTTGGCTTGTTCTGAATGAACCTTTTCATATAAAGAATGAAGATTGTTCTTTCTTCCCAGAAGAGACAAACCAAACACTGGCTCGAGAGAGACGTTTCTGTTTTCACATCTTTCCTCGTACTTCTTCTTCACGCTTTCTTTCAATTGGTTGCGATCTGTAGTTTCACCACTAGGTGGCGCCAAATCCTACAAACTGCATAAAGTACAAAAGTATCCCCGAGGATCGATAGTCTTGTGTTCACCTATTATGATCAGTGATGAGTAACTCTTCAGGTACCAATACAATGTATGGAAGTAAACAGTACAATATCATCTTCTGAAACGTAGAAGTATAAAGGAGCAGAAACGTAAAAGTAGTACCACAGTGTAGAAATACTCTGTTACAAGTACAAGGCCTGTATTCAAAAGGTTACTTAAGTAAAAGTACAAAAGTTAAAGTAGTCACTATGCAGAACTATATATATTGTATTATAATTATCTTTATGATAATACTCACTTTAATGCTGCAGCTGGTAAACGTTGAGCTCATTTAAATTACTTTATATACTGCTAAGTAGTTTGATCTGTGAAAATACATCATAATGTATTAGTTGATTTATATTTATATTAATAATCTTAATATGCAGATTAGTTAATGTTACATTGTAAACAATTGCTGTTAATTTGCAGCCAATTTTCAACCCTAATCTACTGTATTCATGTAATACGGTTTTGTACTGTAGTTAGCAATGCATTGTGGGCCGGCCCCTTTGAAGCAACAGCACAGAGGCCCTGAATCCTAATGTTTGAAATTACAGTACACTGTAGTATTAATTATATATTCATATACTTATGCGTAGAGGTAACGTAGCATTACCAAAAATAAGGTTTGAAATCAAACTGATGCTAAGCTAGCTGTCTAGCTAACCAGTCTGTGATTCTGAAATGTCACTTATCAATGAGGTTGAGATTTGAATAGAGTAAACATTTATATTTACGTGCATTTTAGAGTCTGTGTTTAATCAAATGTTAACCGTTTATCATCTGAATCTTCTTAAGATCGGTAGCGGTTGTTGCTAGCTAACTAGCTTTTTGCCGATTGTTAATAAGCTTCAAATGTCATTATACCTTTGTTCTGTTATAATTCATCACACTTCGTTATATATATTGTATGAGTGGATTTGTATCAATGTTTTCTTTTGCTGAGTAAAACACAAGTCATCTGACTAAAATGTGACTGCATGAATTTACATGAATTTAGGAAACGCCCCCCCGTCTGAGTATAAACACACCCAACACGCCCGACTCCTCCTGCATCCTTCACTGTTCATTCTCGGACCTTAAAGCATTCTGCAGCTCTGCAGAGGGAACTTGAAATAACGCTTTATTATTATTGTTATTATTATTCTTATTGATTATTGATTATTGGCAGCCATGGCCATCAATAAAGCCAAAGTGGCGATTGGATTTATAGTGGCAGGGACCCTTACGGTGGTCTTCGCAGTAGTTTTCCTGTTCGTGGGACCGGTGGTGATGAAAGACCAAGTGATCAAAGTAAGTCTTCTAACATACTTCCTTATTTCCTCTTTCAGTTCAGGTTTCATTTAATAAAGGAGGATTTCTTCAGAACAATTTCCTTCTTCTCTGCGTGCAAAGCAAATGATTTCACAATGAACTATTTAGACTTCCTTGAGGACTTGCATGTTAATTAATCTAATGTTTCACCTCATCGCCTGAATAAAACCTGACGTGTGCTGCAGCTTCTGCTGCAGATTTCACGCTGACTGCTGCTCCGTCATGGACATACGAGGCCTTTAGTGTCGGACCACGCCACTCATAAGCACATGTAGTCCATCTTTACGGGTATTAAAGTGATAAACATAGAGTTAAATCGGTTTCAGTGGCACAGCTGGTGACAAAAATGTCAGGATGCTGAATTCATTGCTAGTTTCCACTTGTATTACTTCATTTCTTATATTTTTACTGAGTTTGTGTTTGTGTCCTTGTCTTTGTTCTTTATTGTTTTTAACACAAACATTCCACGTGCAACTTTGAAGTATTTTTACTTGTCGGATTCCTTTTGGTGATAGCGTTCCGCTCCATGCAATCAAAAGGAGTGAAAAACTACAATTAGTTTTTTCACAATAACTAATAATTTATAGCTGAAAAGACTTTTATGTCTCAAAAATACATTTGTGTTTTCATCAGCGGTGGAAGTAGTTTAGAAGAACTTTTACTTGTACTTGAGTGTATTCATTTTGTTACTTTATACTTATATTTCTGAGTGAAATATTGTACTGCATTTACATTTATACTTTTTAGATTAAAACTTTACATTAAAGGTTAGAAAATACAGCACTTTCATAAAGATGAAACCAGTGATTGACGATCTTTATTCTTCTTCTTCTTCTTCTTCTTCTTCTTCTTCTTCTCTCCCGTTAATCGTCTCCTGACCCCTCATATTTATCTGGCGGCCCTTTGGAGGGGCCTGACCCCTATGTTGGGAACTCTATTGACAGAATAGAATATCACTGTAACTTCTGTTCATGGAGACAAATTATGTTCGTCATCCTTCAAACCGGAACCGTTTTTGGTGTAAAGTGCTTTTAAAGTTTTTGGTGCTAGAGAGACATTTTAAACTAGATTATTATTATAAGCATGAAAAAAATATTTAATTTATATAATTTGCTGGTTTGTTTGAAGTCTGTTGAACATTTTTATTTTTGTGTTGTTTTTACACATTACTGTTTTAAAGTCTGTTATCTGTGTTTTAAATGTAATCCTAATGGGATTATTCTGGATAACTAAGGTAAATATAATATTATATAAATGCTGTACTTGTAGCTGGTACTTTAATTTGCTAATATATATATATTATATTACTGCTATTTAAGTAGGATTATGAATGCATGAATATTACTTGTAATCGAGTACTTTTACATGATTGTATTGCTCCTTTTACTTCTAAACTTCTTCCACCGCTGTTGTATCAAAGGTTAAAAATGTGAGAGTGAGCGCGGAAGGAGCGGGGACCACATTTCCCAGAATCCTCGGCGTGGCGGAGGCGTGGTCAACAGAGTATAAATTCAGAGACAACAGCCGCCGATCGAATACATCGATCAGAAAGACTGAAAGCCGGCTGGACCGGAGACTGTCCCCGAGAAACGACAGCGTTCAGGTCTGGGACGGTTGTGTGGTCTCTAACAGTTAGCTCGCTAGTTAGCCGGTTCGTTGTCGGTCCTTCTGGACGTCAACAAGCTGCAAACACGTCTGTCAGCTGTCAATAACCAGCCATGGCCATCAATAAAGCCAAAGTCGCTATCGGGTTCATAGTGGCGGGTGTCCTCATGGTGTTCTTCGGGACTCTTCTTACTTTTGTGGGACCGATAATCATCGACGACCAGGTGGTGAAGGTAAGCAGCGCGTTGGACATGTAGCGCAGAGACGCTTGTTTTAATGTTCCGAGTCAGCTTTTATTTCATCACTTAATCGCAGCCGAACGTGTGAAAGGGCTGCAGAGGGCCACGTGAGCACAACAACAACTGATAAACAGGCGCGTGCATGCAGACAAACGGTGAATAAGTGATAAAATGCATTGAGTCTGGTTCCTGTAGGAGTGCTTGAGACATGAGCAGAGCCATGTGTGCGGGGAGACGTGCTGCCGAGGAGAGCTCGACCACTGGGGAGGAATTATTATTCACTTATTGATTCATTGGTCTGTAAGCAATCAACATATTTATATTTGTTTTGAAAGAAAAATGCAGTTTCTGCCATTTTTGCATCGAAAATCCTTTAAAACATCGATTAGTTGACTGTCAATGTAATTCATTTGTACAATAATGAAAATACATAAAAACAACCGCAGTAATTAAGAGAGCACGAGAGGAAAGAAGTGTGAGAGCTCATTGATACTTCAATTTAATATAAAAACACATTATTACTCATCAAAAACGACTGAATATCGACACACAAACGAGCGTAAACAGTAAGAAAGAAACCGGGAAAATAACGTGAACAAATAAAAAGTTTTATGTACAATTTTGACATACTTGAACTTCACTTAAGTTTTTATATAACACTTGTGTTTTTATATGTAAAAAGTGACTCTGATGTACTTGTATGATTTGATACAGTAGTACTATTCTACTAATATACAAAGTATCCAACTGTCTCCACATTAAAATGCTCCAACAAGCAGTAATGACAACAGAAATATATCATATTTCATAATAATATAACTCTGAAAAGAAGCCGTTCTAAATAACGAGTACTTTTACTTGTGTTACTGTAAGTTGTATAGCTTTACTATGTATTTAATGCTTAAATACTTTGAATTATACTGCTGTTAAAATGTCACATTTTTTACAGAGACGATAATACTCAACAGATACTTTTGTACTCGAGTAACTAAGTAAAATCTAGCAGCTCCAGCTTATAGATTATGAGGATTTGTTTTATTTGGTTGTAAACTGTCAGACAACGAGACGTGAAGATAGTTTCTGATATTTAATGAACCCAACGTTTGATTAGAGGAGAAGTGAGCAGTCCTCACATGAGCTTATTCATATCGCTCATTAAAGATATTAATAAACCTTCTTGGGATCAGATGTGACGCTGAATTAAGGAATTAAAACCATGTAATCGAGATTAACTTTAAATATAAAAGTCACGTTTCTTTCTTTTATGTCTCGTAGATTTTTTCCACGAAACACATTTTCTGGTTCTCGCTTCTTAATGTGAAGATTTGATGCTTTTCTTTCATATCTTTTGGATTTTTTTGTGTTTGTCGGTCGAGGTTTCACTATTTTCCGTCCTTTCCTGAGAAAGCGTTGAATCGATGGTTTCAGATAAATAACGAGGATGATGGATTATTGCATCTCGTCTTTCTCCTGATTTCAGAACACGGTGATCGACCCGAAGAACGAGATGTCCTACACCATGTGGAAGGACGTCCCGGTGCCGTTCTTCATGTCCGTCTACTTCTTCAACGTGCTGAACCCCAAAGAGATCCTGCTGGGGGAGAAGCCCATGGTGGAGCAGAGAGGACCCTTCGTGTACAGGTGCTCACTTTAAGCTTCTCAAGTCTTTAGAAACTCACACACGATCTGTGAATATGTGCACGATGCATCTTCTCCTCATCTTCTGTTGCTTTTCTGACTTTTATTTGTCAAATTCTACTGAAATATTTAAGATATTATGATTTAAGTTCTTTTCTCATTTAAATTTGTGTTCGTCCAAACACACCAACACAGATACAAGACCTAGATGTACCTCTATATACACACATGCCCATATACAGTACCTACATGTCCATGTACACTGCTGTATGTGTATATGTATATATGTGTGTATGTATATATGTGTGTATGTATATATGTGTATATGTATATATGTGTATATGTATATATGTGTATATGTATATATGTGTATATGTATATATATATATATACGTATACACATATATACGTATACACGTATGTATATGT